AGGCAAGAAAGCCTAATCTGATCTTCTGTTTAATCCATAGCTGGAGGAAAGATGGATTTATGCCTTTTCCAAGGCTGTTAGTGTTAAGTGTATGAAATAGAATCAAACAGGAATTGAACTTGATGCACCTGATTCACTTTCTACAAGAACATCTATTACGCTATCCACACTGCTTCTTGTTTAGTACTGCTTAGTTATTACTCCCCACACCCAGTTTCAAACAGAAACTACTATTATGAAGTTATATCCAGCAGAGGGTGTGGATTGCACTTACTATCTCTGGCTTGCTGTCAAATATGAAATTCATCATTAAACTCTGCTTCAAACACTTTCTCTTCAGAAGTGAAAAATATCAAAAATAGAGGGGGGGAAAAACAAACAGAAATTCATGCAAATGAAGAAAACATTTTCTCTGTAATCTTTCATCTTCCATCTTTATTTCTTCTTGTTTTTTTTTCTTTTACTTTTCTGATATTTATTACTTGATTAAACACAGTGCAATGAGTTTGTTCCTTTCTGAGTTTACAAGGCGAGATAATTGCTAACTTAAGTGCATATTAAGCAATACTTTTTACTATTATTAGTAATATTCGACTAAATATAAAACCTAACCTTTTACTGGAATAAATGGATTATTTTTAAAATGTTATTTTAAAACATGGCCTAATTTTATTAATGAGTGCAAAATCTTGACATTTTATCCTGAATTTTAAAACTTACAAAAACAAAAAAAAAATAAAGAATGAATAAAAAGATTTTGATTTTGTAAAATATAACATTTCTTTTTTTATTTTACTGAAGTTTTACAAAGTTGTAAATTGTATACTTGATAAAAAAAGTCTTTGTGTGTTTGAAAGATAATTTGTGTGTGTGTGCATCAAATGTATAATGGTGTCTGAAACAAAAGTGGAGATGATGACACAAAGTCAGTCAGTTATGTGCCATGCATGATACACGTTTAGGCGATCATGTATCTTTCGATACATGACTGACGAGGCAGATTTTTTTCCACAGTAGGTTGCCATTTCTTTCTGCAGTAGACAAGTTGCCATCCAAGGCTATAGAACCTGGTCTGTCCTGCTATTTACCCATAGCTAGGGGGAGAAGAAGAGGATTCGTACTTTTCCCAAGGGTTTTTGCATGTAAGTGAATGTGACTGGGATTCAAACTTGACTCTCCAATTCCTCAATCTGAGCCACTATCCATTACTCCACTGTGCCTGCTGACATAAAGTACAAAAGCTTATAAATGACATGTTTCATTGACATTTGTTGGTCTTGACTTCTTCAGGTCAGAATGAAAACCAAACTGTAAGGAAAATACGTTGGGATTTTTGAGGATAAGAGGGGCAATAAATTAAATTGTTTCATCTCATCCAGTGACCAGAAACCTGGAAGTATATATATATATATATATATATATATATCACAAAGTCACAAGTCATTGTGACTGAGGGTTTGAGTGTATTGGTGGTGTTCAGATTGTTGAACATTCTAGATAACACACTCTTTCCCAGAAACTGTAACTAAGGTCTGCTCAGCATAGTTGCAGTATAAACCACAGGTTGGCTCTCTGGGTGTTGAACAAACAAAAATGTGCCTGAGAAGGAGTCTGCAATAGGGATTGGCTAACTGCCCTAGTAGATGAGTATCCTCGAATACGAGTGACCAACTATTATTTCATATATATATAATTACTTAAATGTTATTTTTAGTAATAAAATATGTTTGATTAATAAATGAGATCACGGTCAGCATATTGTGGACATGCTCATAGTTGATACATTCATAAAACATTCCATATATTTAGTTAAAGTAAAATCACATTCATCCTAAAGTATAGCCAAAAGTGCTTGGAAAAAATATGGACAATTTTTATATAAATTTTGTCTTAAAAATAGGAAAATTGTACAAACAGATGAGAAATTATATAAGAAAACTCAACCACTTTACTTTGTCAGTTGTTTTTAATGAAACTTGCATAAAAGAGGGAATGCTACCTATATACACAAATATGACTACATGTCTCTCTAGACAGATGCCTTACGTTACGCCTATATGACCACAACTCTATTAGAATCCTTTTAAACACACACACAAACTTACCAGACTCCATCCAAAACATACTAATAGAAAATACAAACATAATAATCTCATCCATATGTAAAAAAAAGATTTAAAATAATGGAAGCCTTAATAGTAAAAAAGAAAAAACCAACACATAATAATATTAACTACGAACACAGCCACAATGTGCTGTGTTTGGAAAATAAAACATCTCTATAACATTAAAAAAATACACACAAGCCACACACCCAATTAAATTGAAAAAATAAAATCATCCTTAATAATGGCTAAAAGTATAACCGAAAGCACTTGTAATTATAGAACATTTGGTCAGTTTCTACACACACTGTGTCCAAAAAAGAAAACATTTGTTCGAACGCAAAAAAAATTAAATAAAAAGCTTAATCATAGTACCTTGTCTGTCATCTTTAATGAAACATATATATCTTTCGTTGAAAATGGCTGACGAGGAAGATTTAATTAATTTTTTATTGAGATTTTACAACAATGTAACAGTTTTCCATTTTTCTGGGGTTAAAATGGAAAACTGTTAGATTGCTGGAAAAACTCAATAAAAGATTAATTAAATCTTCCTTGTTGGACATTTTCAATGAAAGATGCATGAAAGAAAGGTTGCTGACCAAATACACATCTCTCTCTCTCTCTCTCTCTCTCTCTCTATATATATATATATATATATATATATATATATAATACTCTTCAATAAAACAAATTAAGTTCTCTCAGTCACTGGCATGTTTATCTAAAAATAAATATACTTAAATTCACCATCATCCTGCCATACACCAATGGCTTAGTAGTAGATTCTCTGACTGACGCCATTTTAGCCGGGTTTCAACCCTAGCTAGAGGCAATTGGATGTCTAGCTACACTGATTAGCTGTGATACACCAAAACAGTCTGTCTGTGGAGGATAATATATATATATATATATATATATATATATATATATATATATATATATATATATATATAATATAATTCCTACCTTTGATGTATGTGGCTTAAGCATATTTTGACATTACATTTATGGGTAAAATGTAGTAATTCTTAAAAATCTAAGTAATTTTTGCACATTCCTTCAATGTCTTGTGTAAAAAAAATGTTATGTTGTGCCTTGTAGTTGTTATTATTTATAGATGAATCCATTTCTAGAGAATAGGCAGATCTTAATGTCAGCTACTGTAATAATTATTATCAGAACTGAATTTTTAAGGAGCTGAACCTTTTTCAGAAGGTCAAGGAATCTATCACAGAAAATATCAAGTAAAATGCCTTTTTTTCCTCTCTCTGAAAATCAATCCTAAGTTTTCTTTTCGCAACTTGAGTTTAAGTTCAGTTCATGAACTTCAGAGATTATTCTAAATTGATTTCCTAAAATCTTGGAGAGATTAGTGTGGTCCCATAACAGAGATTCTTATACAAAGAATGGTAATTGATTGATTTGTTTGTTTAATGGCATATCAACTCCTTTATGGGTCATTTGATGCCAAAATAACATATATGAGTCATCTTAATTTTTTAAGAAGTCAAGGCAATTCATAGATATTTAAGAAAAAGAATCTGTGGAAAGCCATGATTACATATATCCTGAAGAGATAGGCATTTAAGGATTTATTTATATAACAGCACATCAACTACTTATGGATCATTTAATGCTGAAATTTAATTTTCCTGGGGGCTTTATAATAGCAAAAATATATGTTCTGCTTTCACAATTGAATATATGGTAGATAATACTCAGCTTTTGTGTATATACATGTTTGTGTGGACATAATTATGAGAGGCAATAATATGTGTATTTTATGTTGACGTTTTGTTTTTATATTTTGGAATACAGTTTAAGAAATTGTCAGACATAAGGATTGATGTCACAAAATAATACTTTCATGTTGGTAATTGTACTATAAATAGGTATTGTTGGTAATTTTGTTATATACTAATGTATTGCTGGTATTTTTACTATAAAAATATATATTTATACTTTCATAGTGTTTTGTTTGGTGGGTGGGGTACTCTATTTGCCCAGAGCTGGGACCCTAACAGGTACTACCACCCCAGGTCAGGGTGGACATGGAAAGAACAGTGATTGATGATGCTCCTCAAAACTTCCATTCTCCCAATCAGAGGCCTTGCTGCCAGATGTAGTTTATTGTCATACCCAGGACAAGAAGAAAATAAGATTTTAGTGAGAAGTGAAGGAAAGGACAATAAAAGCACAGGTTTCAGGAAGACAGAAGATGGTGATTGGTGTTGGATTTAGATTTTTGAAGATTGTAGGTGGCAGGGAAGTAAGAAATTAGAAGGGAGTTCCACAGGCGAGAAGTGCGAGAAAAGAAACTATTAGAATAGAACTGACAGTTACATCTAGCTAGTTCAACAGTCAAATGGTGAGACCTAACTGCCAATCTAGTAGCATACTTAAATTCATGCAATCAAAGCACTAAGAATAGCTCATCAAAACAATTTACATGAAAATATTTGTAGAAAAGAAACCACATGTTGGCGGGAAAGTGACTAAAGTCGAGATATCAAGTCTTGATCGATTATATTACAGACCTTTCTTTAAATTTTGTCAAGAAACTCAAGATGTATAGTAGACGTGCCAGACCACATACCAGACCTCATATCTTTTTGCCACTAGCGGGTTTCAAACAGGATGATACATGGGAGTCAAGTGGGACACATTTGAAACACATGACCTGCCCAGCAGAGGTACCAAGAGGTACACATTGATCACTACAATATTAACCTTTTCATGTCTCTGGTCAACTGTTATTTACTTTCTCCAACCCTCTATGTTGAGTGGCTCTTGGGCTTTGTATTGGGTGAACAACAGTAAAAATAAAACAAGAAAAATGATTTTGAAAAATTATGTTGTAAATTTTATTTCTCATCATTTAACAATCAATAAATGAATTATAACATTTCTTTTCTTTTTTCTTTTCTTTCTGCAGTTAGCTTATTTGCTGTGAGTCAAGTCACAGTTTTTAGCAGTGATATTTCTGGTGAGTAACTTTTCAATATTTATTTTCTTTATCAATTGATTCACGTGTATGGTAGATTTATTTTGGATTTAATTGCTTCAAGAGTGTTCTCAGCTTCCCTGCTTAGGCATTACCAAACTGCTTGAATGGATGTGTGTAAAAGTTATTGATACAGGAAGTTGAATCTGCAAGCCAAGTTCAAATTTCATCCTAGTCTGTTGTATTCCCTTTGCATTAATACTCTTGTGAAATGCATGAATCTTTTCTTCCTCCAGTTATAGGCAAAATAGTAGGGTAGACTGGGCTCTCTAACCTCAAGTCGTAATCAGTCTAGAAAAGTGGTTACCAAATGGTGCACACACTTCATAGGTGTGGCACAAGAGGATAGCAGATGTGACAGAATGATTGAAAGACAATCAAAGATTTAGAAACAGTTTCAAAAACTTCATACGCCAAAAATAAATATGATTTCAAAATTTAAAATATTATTAAGGATTAGTTTTAATGGCACGCATTAATCCCAGTCTAAATAGCTATAAATAATTGTTAATCAATTTTATCATTTTGATATTTTTGCATTATATCAAGTATTAAGAATATAGTAACTAAGGTCTGCAAATTGGAGGAGAGAGTTATCAATGATAATGTTCTGACTTCAATATGTGGTTATCTCCCTTGAACCCTCTCTCTGTTTTTTTTTTTTATTTTTAAATGTACTTTTTATCACATAAAATTTGCTGAGGCACGAGCAAATTTTTATTCTGAAAATGTGTCCCAGAGAAAAAAGTTTGGGATCCACTGGTCTAGACAGATGACTGAGTTCAAAGCCACGGAGAAAGCAATAGGAAAATTTGGTGTACTTGGACTCAGCAGAAACAGATAAACAACTGAACAGTACTAAAAATAAGAACTAGATGAGATATCTCTAAACATGGGCAATAGAATGAGAACAGTATACCCCAACAGATTAAATAAAGGATTCAGTTTGGAATTCCCTGTACATTATCTAGATCAATATACACCTGAGGAAGGATGAAGGGCACAACAGTCGAAACATTGTGATAGCAACAACAAAGATGGAAACAACAGTCCAAATATAAATATCATAAATAATGATAACTGTTCATCCCAGAAATTTATGGTTACGGCCACATCATGTTGAAACACAGGCTCCTGTATGATCACTGAAGTTAAGCCATGTCAAGCCTGGTCAGTACCTAGATGGGTGACCTCTTGGAAACACTACGTGCTGTAAGTTTGGATGTGCAAGTGGTCTAATGGATAATAGCTTGTAATTGTTAATTGGAAAGCTGAGTTCCAATTCCAAGTTGGGTTTGTTATATTCACTTACACGCAAATAATCTTGAGAGTGGATGAATCCACCTCTTCTCCCCCAACTATGGGTTAATTAGTAAGACTTGTGTTACTAAACCATTATTATTTTCAAAAATAAAATTAAAATTGTGTACAAAATATTTAGATTTTGACATTAAATAACGCATAGAGGTATTGATATGCTGCTATAAAAAGCAACCAACCAACCAGAAACACAGACAGTGATTTATACTGTCTTTCCTAAGAAATGATTGATCTTCACAAAGAGAAAAGGAATATGTGGAGAGTCATGATCGCCTATATCCTGAAGGGAAATGGCTTTTTAAAAACAGGAACTACACTCTGACAATAAAAACTACAACTTTACTATTTTCATTATAATTACCTTCATCCTTTATTATTAATTATTGACTAATATTTTGTACCATCTTAATTTCTCTAATAATGTTTTATTGCAACTTTTAGTCAGCATTATGGGAAAAAAGTGGATAGTGGTGGTGGAGAGTAATAGTCTACAGGTGGCATTTGGCCTAAAACAGCCTGTAAAAGCATTTCAAAGAAAAAAATTTTCATGCATTATTCAATTTGTAAAATTTCAGATAGAGTATATTTGTAAAAGTACAATATGAAAAAAGACAAAAAGAAAACTTATCTTAGCTGAAGTGTTTCGTCCTCTGGTGGACTTTATCAAGGCAAATGTAAAAATTTTATTTTGTGACAAGGATTTATATACACAAGCAAAATGTTAATCATTTTTCAAAACCTTTAGGTATAGGAGTGCTCATGAATATTCATCAGCTTAAGGGAAAAGTCTAGACAAAAATTTTTGCTTTTGTATATAAATACATGTCACGAAATAAAATCCTTTGCATTTTGCCTTTTGATAAAATGCATCAGAAGATGAAACGTGTCAGCTAAGTTTTCCTTTTGTCTTTATTCATTATTTACTTTGTCTAATCAGTTATTTCTTTCATTTTTAATTAATGTCCAATAGAAAATAAAGAATAAATCCACAGCAATTTATTCATTTCATTGAATGTTCATAAAAATTAGCAAATTTGATGTTCAGTTACATGGACATTTTGACGGCTTGGTTACATGGACATTTTGACGGATCAGTTAAATGGACTTTTTGACAGCTGTTATATGGTCATTTTGACAGCTCGGTTATATGGACATTTTGAAAGCTCGGTTATATGGACATTTTGACAGCTTGGTTATATTGACATTTTGTATGGCCAACAATTCACTGCAGTTCCACAAGTCACACTGTAAAATTGTGTATTGCAGAGCCTGACAGGTAGTGACAGCCCTAGGGTTGCTGGCATGCCAGGCAAGCTGTGTGTGTGTGTGTGTGTGTGTGTGTGTGTGTGTTGGGATTGCACATTATCAGCTATTAATCAGTAATCAGCATTTTTTGGTGTTTTTTTTTCAATTAATCAATTTTCATACTCAAACCTCTTTATTTATTGCATCACAAAAACTTACTCGATGGTTTAATAGCTTAAGAACCATTAGTTATTTTAGACATTGAATGAATTTAAATAATATTCCAAGTGTTTTCCATACATTTTTCCCCAATCTTTATTCAGAGTAATTAAATTACCAGTTCTTGCCTGATTAATTAGTGCCATTCTAATTGATAATATCTTATCATAGTTATTTAATAAGTATTTTTTTCAGACTATGGTTTAGATGAAAAATTTCCAATAAATTTTATTCATCTAAATAAGTCATTTTTGCCATTTGATGTCTCTTTGTCTTTGGTGAGTTAATGATGGCAAAATCTAATTAAATCTTAACGGAAAGAGAACCTTTGAATTATTTGGTGTCAATCTAATATGAACAGAAACTTAAAGGTGTTATGATTATCAAAAAAGTTTCCAAAATGAAAACAATCAGCAGAGCCACTGAGATGTGCAGGATATTGATTGGGAGAGGAAAGCAATTACTTACATTACAGACTAATATCTTCATCTTTAATAGGGTCACGTTTCATATGTCCTCTAGCCTTCTTCAGGTGTATGCTGATCCAAGTAAACATCAGGGAATTTTGACACTATTTTTCAACACATATTTTGGTGAAATATCTATAAGTCTACCATTCACCCATGCTTAGAATATTGCTGCCACATTTGGTCCGGTGCTCCTGCTATTTACTTTGAGCTCCTTGATAAAAACCCAAAGAAGAATCAGCAATATTATTTGATATCTGATTTGATGTCTTGGCTCCAGACACTTTCCCACTGCCATAAGATTGCCTCCCTTTGACTTTTCTATAAATACTTTCACGGTAATTGTTCAGATGAGCTTTTTGCCATGGTACTTAGACTTTTTGAATTTAATTTCAGTACTAGACTGGCATTGAGATCTCATCTATTTACAGTTGAGCTGGATAGATATAGCCATAAGTTCTATGCTAACAGTTTCTTTTCTCACACTTCTCACTTGTGGAACTTCCTTCTGGCTCCATGCTTTCCAGCCAACTTTAATTTGCAAAAATTTAAATGCAATGTTAATCACTATCAACTGTCCTCCTAATTACTATTTTTGTTCTCGCTCATTACTAATGTTTTTATTTTTAATTCTTTTACAATCAGTAACACCTTGTGTTTTAGTGTCTTTACTGCTTTTCATGGGGTAAAATCAATTATATATATATATATATATATATATATATATATTATTTGTATTTAATCAGCGAATGTTCTTTAATACAAATCTTATTAAAAATAAAAGTCATTTGTGTCAAATCATTTCATTGATTGACTATGAATAACCCTTCTCAGATAAGGGGGAAATTGCAGCGGAAATTGTTCAAAGATCATTTTGGAAGAAATATGGTCTAAGCTTTTGATTTTCTTAAGTCATCATCAAGGAAGGTAGAGACAAATGGTGAGTTTTGTAGAACTAATGAGTAATAATCTAAATTCCTTAAAAGTATATCAAAATATATCCGCACACATATCACACCTTGCCTACGTCACAACCCTCAATACCTACATCACAACCCGCAATACCTACATCAGACCTTCCCTACGTCACAACACTCAATACCTACATCACACCTTCCCTACGTCACAACCCTCAATGCCTACATCACACCTTCCCTACATCACAACCTTCAATACCTACATCACACCTTGCCTACGTCACAACACTCAATACCTACATCACACCTTGCCTATGTCACAACCCGCAATACCTACATCACACCTTCCCTACGTCACAACCCTCAATGCCTACATCACACCTTGCCTACGTCACAACCCTCAATGCCTACATCACACCTTGCCTACGTCACAACCCTCAATACCTACATCACACCTTCCCTACGTCACAACCCTCAATACCTACATCACACCTTGCCTACGTCACAACCCGCAATACCAACATCAAACCTTGCCTACGTCACAACCCTCAATACCTACATCACACCTTCCCTACATCACACCTTCCCTACGTCACAAACCCTCAATGCCTACATCACACCTTGCCCTACGTCACAACCCTCAATGCCTACATCACAACAACCCTCAATGCCTACATCACACCTTCCCACATCAAAACCCTCAATAACTACATCACACCTTCCCTATGTCACAACCCTCAATACCTACATCACACCTTCCCTACATCAAAACCCTCAATACCTACATCACACCTTCCCTACGTCACAACCCTCAATGCCTACATCATACCTTCCCTACGTCACACCCCTCAATGCCTACATCACACCTTGCCAACGTCACAACCCTCAATGCCTACATCACACCTTCCCTAGTCACAACCCTCAATGCCTACATCACACCTTGCCTACGTCACAACCCTCAATGCCTACATCACACCTTGCCGACGTCACAACCCTCAATGCCTACATCACACCTTCCCTACGTCACAACCCTCAATGCCTACATCACACCTTGCCTACGTCACAACCCTCAATGCCTACATCACACCTTGCCGACGTCACAACCCTCAATGCCTACATCACACACACCCCTTGCCCATCACACCTTCCCCCCTACGTCACAACCCTCAATGCCTACATCACACCTTGCCCACGTCCACAACCCTCAATGCCTACATCACACCTTGCCGACATCACAACCCTCAATGCCTACATCACACCTTCCCGACGTCACAACCCTCAATACCTACATCACACCTTCCCTACATCAAAACCCTCAATACCTACATCACACCTTACCTACGTCACAACCCTCAATGCCTACATCACACCTTGCCTACGTCACAACCCTCAATGCCTACATCACACCTTGCCTACGTCACAACCCTCAATGCCTACATCACACCTTGCCTACGTCACAACCCTCAATGCCTACATCACACCTTCCCTACGTCACAACCCTCAATGCCTACATCACACCTTCCCTACGTCACAACCCACAATACCTACATCACTTCACTCACCTCAGTTGGTAGGCTTGTATGTCTTTTAGTCTACCAACTAGTGTGTCTACTACATTTTTATCTTTGTCAGCTTATGAATTTTCCAGATGACCACTGTAAATGTAATACTTTTTGATTATTTTCTCACTAACTCACACAAAACACAAACACATACATATATATATATATATATATATATATATATATATATATATATATATATTTAGTGTATTTAATAATCCTTCTTTCATGCACATTTCATTGAATATGACAGACAAGGTGCTTTTATTTAGTTTTTTATACAATTTCTCATGCGATCTAACAATTTTTTTTCTTTTCAGATGATAAATTATATAAAAACTGTCCAATTGTTCTTTTTATCCGAGTGCTTTCGACTATACATTTAGTCATTTTCAAGGATGAAATATTTTAACTGTTAAATAAAAAAATAGCTTTTTTCATGTATGTATTTATATAATGTTTTCATTTTTCAAAACATGGTCAAGATATTGTGTCCATGTTCATAGTTGATATTTTTAGGTGTTGTTTTTTTTGCTTTTATTAATAAAGCTTCCATTAATTTTAGCCTTTTTTGCATGTAGATGATGCCATTATATTTGTGTTGTCAACAAGTACGTTACAAATAGTCCTCGGTAAGTCTCCATGAATATTTAAATGAGATCTAATTGAGCTCTATATATATATATATATATATATATATATATATATATATATATATACTAGGCTATCTATAAGTGACTAGGCTCTAGATTAATTAATTGTTAAGCAAGATAGGTACACCAAAACACCAAAGTTAAGCAACATTGAGCATGGTCTGCATCCAGATGGATGATCACTTTGGGAATACCAGGTGCTGTAAGCTTGGATGTGCAGGTGGTTTAATGAATAATGGCTTGGAATTGTTAATCAGAGAACAAAGTTCTAATTCCAGTTGGTTTCGTTATATTCACTTACATGCAAATATCCTTGGGAAAGTTATGAATTCGGTCTTCGGTCCCCTGCTATGAGCTAATTAGTAAGACTTGTATCACTAATCCATTATTACCTCAAAAAAATTCTTTCAATCTAAAAATATTTTCTGACCCTAAATAACCTGCAAAGGGTTTATAAGCCATAGAAAACCAACCAACCAACGAATCAATCAAATACTGATTAGCTACATTCTGTGGGATATAAATGTATAGAAACTACCGTGACCATAAAGTGAGGGATCAGTTTATATAATGGTTGTAATATATAATTGATCCCCCACTTTATATACACATTATAATTTCTTGTTTATTCATAAAATTCTGATTAGGTATAAAGCCACTTCTTCTCCCCCCCAGCTATGGGTTAATTACTATCTCCAAAAACCAAAAATTCTCACAATCTAAAAATATTTTCTGGCTTTGAATAACCTGCAAAGGGTTGATAAACTGTAAAAAATGAATTAGTCAATCGACCACTCACTGAGTAGCTACACAGACATGTCTTTTAGATTTATTCACATTTTGTGGAATATAAATGTATAGAAATTACCATGACCACAAAGTGAGGAATCAGTTTATATAATGATTGTAATATAGAATTGATCCTCCACTTTATATGCACATTATAATTTATTGTTTATTTATCAAATTCTGATTAGGTATAAATCCACCTCACCACCTCCCGCTATGGGTTAATTATCAATTATCTCCAAAAACAAAACAAAAGTTCTTACAATTAAAAAATATTTTCTGGCTTTAAATAACCTGTAAAGATTATAAGATAAGTAGAAAGTGAATTGATCAATCAATCAATCAATAAATAAAATTTGAAATGACTTGAATTTGATAAATATTGTGCTGTCAGACGTTGTCTACAATGAAATAATTTATTTGGTTGAATTTCAGCTAGAAAACCAAAGTAGATAGCAAAACAAAAGAAATGTAGAAAAATCTGGTTTACTTCCAAAAAGTGAATGCTTAGTCTCAAACTGGAAAAAAAAATTTCTCGGACAAATGTCAAATTGAACTTTTTCCAAGTATGAGACAATATGTGAGAAGACATCCAATTCAAGATTTAGCATAAGATATACTTAAAAAAAAAAAAGAAAAAATCTAAAATAATTAGCAGTAAGTAGAGTCAGGGTGAGGGAGCAATTCGAGGAGAGTAAGGGGAAATGCAATGAAAATTCAACAAAGACTTCATAAAGGCAGACCACAAATACAGAGTGTGATGGATAAATTGTTATCTAAATGATGCAAAAATGAAAATAACACTGACATCTCATTTTAACAGATATATTTACCAAAATTACACAAAAATATCTTGACGTATTAAAGAGTAAATTTATTCAATAAAATCACAATTAGCTTTAACCACAGCCTCCAGATGACTTTGGAATCACTTGCATCTCTTCTGGGTGGTTTCCTTGTTTAAGTTGGTGAATGCTGTCATAATCCTTGCCTTCAGTTCATCTTTGGTGTTACAAGGAGTTATCTTGGTCTTTTGCTCAACTGCACCCATAATCAAGGTCGGGGGTCAGTTTGGGGAGTTAGGTGGTCAGATTTAAGGGGTGAAGTGGTTGCAGAAATTGTCTGACAGCCATGACTGGGTTCTCTTGCTTGTGTGGCATGGTGCAGAGTCCTGTTGCCAGACATAGGATCTTCCAGCAGCCACCCTCTTGAGCCAGGGCAGCAATACCTGCTCAAGGCACTTGATGTAGACCTCTGTGTTGAAGAGTTATAACATTACCACCTTCGTAATCACCATTAGACTCATCCAACTCTTTTCAGCTAACCCTATTCTTCTGTGCAGTTGACAAAATCAAAAACAAACAATGTGCATGCATGAAATTAAAAATATAAAATGGCAACAATTTGCTTTGTACAATTTTTAAATGTGAGCTGTCTCATGTCAAAGAAACCACCTCTAAATTGCTGTTGTTCCCATGTCCATCCTGACCTGGGGTGGTAGTACCTGTTAGGGTCCCAGCTATGTGCAAATAGTGAACACCCCCGCAAAAAAATCAGCAATACATTTTAATGGCAAAATAACAATCAATGGAACACTAAAAAAATATGAAAAATACATTTTTATTGTAAAATTATCAACAATACATTTTTGTAAGCAAAATTACCAGCAATAGATTTAAAAAATAATTCCCAAAAATACATTTTATGAGCTACAAAATATATATCTAAAAACATACCTTTACCCTGAAAACATAAAATTATGTACAAAAAATTTAGATTTTGGCATAAAATAACCCACAGAGGTTGGTATGCTGCTAAACAAAATCAAACAACCAACCAATTGATAAATTTTAATTCTTAAGTAATTGACATGTTCCATGACAATAAAATATCTATAGATATTCCCCTACCACAATGTTAAATATTTCAGCTTAATGACAAAATATTGCAATAACAATTATAAATATGAATGCTGGTTGTAATTTAAAGATGTAAGGGGATACAAATGAAAAGATTTCAAATTAATACTAGATAGGTTTTCCTATCGTCTGGTTTACAATTCTCCCCAGTCTTTTGAACAGGAGTAGAGGTTTATCCCTTGTTTCCTGTTTAGGATTGGGTTTCTGGTTCTTTCTAAAATTTACTTCAACTCTACAATGCTAACATCTCTGCCTAAAACTCTGACATTTTATTTAATATTTATCTATTTTTTTCCTCAATAGAAGTTGATAGATTTACTGATTGTCAGATTCAAAAACATCCCTGGGATTTTGAACAGGAGTAGGAGTTTATTCCTTGTTTCCTGTTTAGGATTGGTTTCACAGTTCCTTCTAAAGTCTTTTCATTCTCTTTCACTCTCCTGCATCTTAGTGGCATTATAGCCTTTCTTGGGGTAAATTGATTAAAAAATCTTTTTCCATTTCACTTCTATCTCTGCTTGTTTCTTTCTTTCTTCTCATTGAAACCAAATAGTGTTTCTGATATGTATTTTCTATCTTTCTACTTGATCTAAAAACAGAATAATCCATTATTTATTGGCAGATGTTAAACACTTCTATCTTCCCTTTTCTTTTTCTTTCTTTCATTTTTCTTACTGAAACCAAGTAGTGATTCTGATATGTATTTTCCATCTTTCTACTCAATCTAACAAGTAGAATTATAATAAGATTGTTGGAATGTACTAAAGAGGAAAGAGAAAGATAAATGTCCAGATTCTACTGATCATCTTTGGAAGATCATGGAAACAAAGTGGGTAAATATTGATCCATCCTTTTGAAAACTTTTTGACTATATTGAATCCATTGCTAGGTCTGCTGCTAAAAAGGTGGTTCACTATGTCATGCTAGACAATTTTTAACTCCAGAATCTATCTAACATATCTATAAATCTACCATCCATCCATGCTTAGAATATTGATGCTAGATATGGGCCAATACTCTGGCTATATATTTAGAGATTATTCATTCATAAAATCCACAGAAGCATCAGCAATATTATTGGTCATGACTTGTCATCTCAGCTTCAGTCACTTTCCCATCACCATAAAGTTGCTTCCCCTTGCCTTTTCTATGAATATTTTCATGGTGATTGTTCGGATGAACTCTCCTCTTTCCTATGGTAACTTTATGAACTTAAGCAAAGTAGTAGATTGGCAAAAAGTACTCATCAATTTACAATTAAATTGGCTAGATGTAGCCATAAGTACTATGCTAACAGTTTCTTTTTTCGCATTTCTCACTTGCAAAACACTCTTCCACCTCTATGTTTACCAGCCAACTTTGATTTTCAAAACTTTAAATGCAATGTCAATCATTATCTACTGTCTTCATGATCACTCTTCTGTTATTCTTGATCCTGAATAATATTTGTTTTCTAATTCTTTCATACCCACTTGAGTCTTAGTGGCTTGACTGCCTTGCTTGGTGTGAATTTGATTTTAAAAAAAGAAAAATTTAATTTTTATTAATTATTGTTATAAATTGACTTAAAAACTTTTTCTTGGTAGTGCTTAAAATATTTTGAGAACTTTTATAATTCTTGTGAAAAATTCTATTCTTCTTACCTGAGTGATGTCCCTTCAGGATATAGGCAAGATCATGGCTCTCTACAACTCCTAGTCTTTCATAGCTTCTACAATCCATTTAATCAAACTCACTAAGTAGGTTATGTATTGTTTCCCTCTGTCCCTCTTACATTCAATCTGCCCTGTGAGTATTAGATTTATCAAGACCTCTTTCCTCATTATGTGCCCTAGAAATTTCAAATATCTCTTCCTGATGTTAAATATAAATTTCCTTTTTGTTTCCATTTTCTCTAAAACTTTGTCATTGCTCACATTTTTGGTCCATGGTATTCTCAGCATCCTGCTGTAGAACCACATTTCTGTTGCTTCAAGTCTCTTCTTCAACTGTGAGGAGATTGTCCAGCATTCACTGCCATATAGGAGGACTGATATTACATAATAGTTCAGTACTCTTTTCTTTGTTTCTCTTGCTTCAAGTCTTTTTTTCATCAGTGAGGAGATTGTCCAGCATCCACTGCCATATAGGAGGACTGATATTACATAATAGTTCAGTACTCTTTTCTTTGTTTCTATTGCTTCAAGTCTCTTCTTCATCTGTGAGGAGATTGTCCAGCATTCACTGCCATAGACTGATATTACATAATATTTCAGTACTCTTTTCTTTGTTTCTGTTCCTTCAAGTCTCTTCTTCATCTCTGAGGAGATTGTCCAGCATTCACTGCCATATAGGAGGACTGATATTACATAACAGTTCAGTACTCTTCTTTTTCTTTCTAACAAAATTTTTCTGTTTTTTAATACTGTTTGGAGTCTGGAAGACATCCTTGGCCACCCCAATCTGCCCTCAGATCTCATACTTTACCTGTTTTATATACAAAATATACAGAGTAGAGTAATTGGTCCAGGTTAAGTATAATTGGCAAAAATACTTAACAAACCGAATTGACAAATTTTCCAATAAACAACAAATGAAAGAAAAAAAAAAAGGAGGCATACCATGACCATTTTTCTCTTTTACCAAACATACAATAAATATGCAAGTCAAAGCAACAGTAATAAGTTGAAAAGTTTGCAAAGTAATGGTTTTAACATGCAAAAGGGATACAGTCTGATTATAGTGTTCTGACTTTAAGACAAGAAGGAAGATGATAGTGGTTCATTTTATTGGTTAGGAAGAAACCCAGCTTGCATCTGTATCATTTGTCTATAAATTTGGAGAGAGGAGATTTTTAGCAGTCATTCCTTAAATTGAAACCAACATTTATAAACTTATTTACTTGAGTGTGCTTAAAATATTTGCTCAGGAACATTTTTCTAATTGTTATCCTTTACCTGTTATATAAACAAAATATACAGAAAAACATTAGATTATTATTGAAAATTCTTTTTTCCTCAAAAACTGTTTTCAGAGAAAGATTTTATAAATTTCAAATGAGCATATTTGTAACTGTTCAATTAATGAATGCTGAATATATCCAGTCTAGATATAACAGCTATTTTTAGTATTACCCTTCTTCCTTTTTACCATGTCCATTCTTTCTTTTTACCATTACCTTTCATCCCTTTTACCATTACTATTCTACCCTTTTAACATTTCCTTATTCCATTTTACCATTACTATTCTCACCTTTTACAATTAACATTCTTCCTTTTAGGATTACCCTTTTTTTCCTTTTTCCCATTACCCTTCTTCTATTTTACCATTAGCATTCTTCCATTTTACCATTACCCTTCTTCCATTTTACCATTACCCTTCTTCCATTTTAACATTACCATTCTTCCATTTTTCCATTACCCTTTTTCTATTTTACCATTATCATTTTTCTCTTTTACCATGCCCATTCTTCCTTCTTACTGTTTTCCATTGTTTCCATTCTTCCTTTTAACATTACCATTCTTCATTTTTACCAGGTCCTTTCTTCCTTTTGTCCATTCTTTCATTTTGCCATTGCCATTCTTCCTTCTTTACCATGACACTTCTTTTTTCTTCTTTTTTACCATGACCATTTTTACAATTACCATTCTTCATTTTACTCACAATCAACAAATATCTTTTCTTGAATTATGAGTAATGGATTAAAATATTATCTCAAAATAAAACCTTCATTTTGTTGCAATATTGGAATTAGCCTGGATTTTTTATAACCTCTGGCATGTGGGATCTTGTAAAACCAAACTATTGTCTTATTGTTAAAATTTGTTAGTGATGTTTTCAAGATGCTGTCAAAAATTTAATCAATTATTAACAATACAAAACATTTTTTTAAATTATTTCACCTCAAGCAAGGCAACAGAGCCACTAACATGCAGGGAGAAGTCATTGAGTGTGAAAGAATATAAGAAAAACATTATTAAGAGAAGAAAACAATAAAAGAACAGAGATTGAGAAGAGAAAAGATAACGATTGACATTGGATTTAAATTTAAATTTTTGCAGATCAAAATTGACTGGAAAGCAAGAAGCCAGAAGAGAGCTCCACATACGAGAAGTGCGACAGACGAAACTATTAGCATAGAACTTATGGGTGGTTACATCCAGCCAGTTCAACTGTAAAATGATGAGATCTTGCTACCAATCGTCTACTGCGCTTAAATGCATACAGTCTAGGTACCACAGAGGAGAGTGAGATATTCACTAACTGCCCAACATGGTCAGATGCAGCACAAGGCCAAGTTTATTGTGGCATATCCAAGCCCATAGGCTCAGCCAAAAATTCCCTATAGACTTCATAAAAACAGGGTCAGGTAGCTGTCTCCTGAGACGAGACTCAGCCCTGCAACATAACCTCGTCTGGGGATCCACTCTACCCAGAGGCAGAGAGTTTGACCAGCACACTTCCAAAGTAATCCACAGAAGAGAATTCATCAGGATAATTACCATGAAAGAATTCATAGAAAAGGTACAGGGAAGCTATGTTACAGCGGTCGGAAAATGACTGAAGCTGAGATGCCAGATCAGAACCAATAATATTGCAGATTCTTCTTTGAATTTTATCAAGAATCTCTAATTATATAACAAGATCACCAGACCAAATGTGGCAGCATGGACAATCAGTATTTGTGGGTATTTTCTTTCAATTCATCTATTTTGGCCAGTTTTGTACCACAAACTTTATTTTTTTAATTATCCCTATAGTATAAAAAGGTATGAGGTCTGGTGAAAATGGAAAGTATTCTACTGGACCTCTTCATCTAATTAACCTGTTTGCCAAAATCACATTCAGGTAGACCTTTACATCATTATGGTTATATGGGTACATCCCATCTGGCTGGAAATAAAAAAAAAATTCTCATTCTTTAAAGTCCTCTTAAAAATGGTGGATGCTTGATTTTCAAATACTTATGGCAGTCTAGGAGAAGGAAAACTCTAAATTCAAATCAGCCTGAAGAGGGTTAGGCTCCAGCAGGCTATCATGCCCTAGACACACCACTGCTGCTATGGTTACGGTACATGTGTTACCCCTATGACACTAAGGGGGTACAGAGTTCGTAAATCTGAAAAGAAATTGAAATTAAGTGTGCATTTTTGTGGGACAACTTATGTGTGTTCTTTTGAGCTTAAAAGAGTTGCCAAAAAAGAAACCAGAATTGTCTGATTACCATAAGTGATATTTTACCATTTAAAACAAAAAATACCCTATTTATATTTGGACTATTGTCCTCATCTTTGTTGTTTTTATCACTAATAGCTCTTCAACCCATAAATTCAGACAGAAATTAAAAGTATCTTTATTTCAGGTTAATTATACTAAATTATACTAATCATACTAAATATTTAGTATAATAAATTACATCAACCTGAATGGAAAGGATTGAACTATAAATTATATGGACTACACTCTAATAATCTTCCACAAAAGAATATCCATTTGTTTACATGCAATTTATGTTTCTGTGTTCAAAAGTTATGTAATCTAATCAAGTGATTTTATTATTAACAAACTTTCATATCATTTGAAGAGCAAGCAATCATTCTTATTCAAGGTAATTTTTCTATGCAAATTACCAATTAGCCTGTCTGTAAATTAATTACATAAGCTACTTCACAAGCTATTTCAATCAGTGATACCAAATTACATTCTCTTGCTCACAAACAGTAAAAAATAACTAAAAAATAAAATAAAAATTCTTTGTCTATAATCTTTAATCAAACTTACATTAAATACATATAAACTACATGGGAAAATGATATATAAATGTTTATATATCAGGCACAATTTTAGAGAAATATATGACAAAGTGCAAAAAGTTTTAATATAAAAGATTATATGAACATAAAAGGGATCTTTTACAAAGCAACACACACAGTGCAGTAGTTGCTCATCTTAATGAGTTTGAACATAAATATTATTTATTTAATTAATTTGTTTATTTTGGGGTAGGTATTAGTTTGTTTATTTACACTATTTATTATATTATCTAGTGGAATGGTTGGAAAAAATTGGCTAATTTCTAATTGATTCAAACTTTATAAAATGGTAAATAATAAGGATTTCCTTATAGTTCATTCATATATTTTAATAATTTAGTAAATGTTTATAAATTTATGGATAAAAATTTATTTTCTTATTTATAAATTGGTAAATGATAAAAATTGCATTTCATTAGTTTTAATTGTATTAGTTTTTAGAATGTTGTAAATAAACAATCTAATAAATAAATAGTGTTTAATATTTTTGTTGTAAATTCTCAAGAATAAAAAAATGTATAAATTCACTTTTCATCATATGTTTAGGTTTTATTACAATTCTAATCATCACTTTTTAAAACAATAAACACAGCCAAGGAGTGAAGGTAGTTAAAATAATAATAATAGTGATATCAATAGCAAAACCATTCTTTTGACATACCATTTTTTGCAGGCACAAAGGTTAAATATTGCAGTGTTTTCAATGTGTTTTTCCACATCACATAGGAATTGGAAGCTACAAATTTTAAGATCTTTTTATTAGAACTCTATGATAATTCCACATAGTGTACTTTGTTTTATTATCTCCACTTTTGTTTAGATATTATTCTACATCATACTATCATTCATATATAAAGAACTTGTTAGACATAGTAGATACATTTGGTATATAGCATAATTGATAGATAGAGTAAAGTTACAATGGAAAGCAAATGAAAACTAAGATGAGAGTAAATGCTAGTACAAAATTAATAACAATGGCTTACAATTCTTCAACTAATAAGAAAATTAAGGTGAAAGTAGTAAATATTACTAATGCTACAAATATAAAACTAAAAATAAATATGGCAACCAAAAATTAATAAAAATCCAGATAATATTACTACTAATACTACTAATAGCAATAAAGCAATTGAAATGAAGATGAAAGAAGTATTAGTGAAAAATGAATAATAATTGACAAGGCTTCATCTAATAATAATAAAATTCAAGATAATATTACTACTAATACTACTAATGGAAATAAAGCAATTGAAATGAAGATGAAAGAAATACTAGTGAAAAATGAATAAGAATTGACAAGGCTTCATCTAATAATAATAATAATAATAATAATAAAATTCAAGATAATATTACTACTAATGGAAATAAAGCAATTGAAACAAAGATGAAAGAAATAATCGTGAAAAATAAGTAAAAATTGACAAGGCCTCAGCTAATAATAATATTCAAGATAATATTATTACTTATACAATTAGTGGAAATAAAGCAATTGAAATGAAGATGAAAGAAATACCAGTGAAAAATGAATAAAAATTGACAAGGCTTCATTTAATAATAATAATAAAATACCAGATAATATTACTACTAATACTACTAGTGTAAGCAAAGCAAGTAAAACTAAAAATAAAATATATTAGCCATAACTAAATAATAATTGTAAGCTTGATTTTCTTTTAATTTCAATTTTTAAAATACTTTTATCCTAAAACATGTCTTTGCAGAATCTTAGTAAAAAAAAAAAAAAAAAAAAAAAAAATTTGTTTCAGATATGATTTAAGGGAAGAGAAACCGATTTGAATTGAATGCAAACAGCTGTTTATTAGCATGACTACCCCCCAACCCTGCCTTAAGATTCTTTTACTCATAATCTTAGTTGGATGTAAAACGTAAGCCATCATATTGGCTTATTCACAGTTCAGTACATTTGTGTAAGTACTTCATGCAGCCATCTTGCTAAAAAGGCTCAGCAGAGATGTTCTATCAGCTGCAACTTTCAAATAACATTTTTCATATTTCTTTTCTTTTTGAAGGCAGTCAGTCTTGCAGAAATGCAGCCATCCTTTTAGATGATCTCAGAAAACATTTAAGCAATAAGAAAACTCACAAACCAAATGTTATGACAAATTTAAAGAACTTATAATGTCTGGATTTCTGAAATGAGAAATTATCATTATTAAACATTATTCTTGGTAAATTGTGAATATTTTGCTTAATGTTCATATCTTCTTTATTCCAGATGAAAACTTGGAAATTTTGCTACATATTTCAGTGAAATATTTACTTTCCAAAATTAGTTTTTAGCTTAGATATATGGAAAAAAGAAAGCATCCATTTAAATTGTGTTTGTTCTCCTCATTAATAAAATAGGTCAGTTCTCTCTCAGTTTCATGTGACTCAGTCCTAGTCTGTCTTACCTTGAAACCAGAATGCTACATTCATTTATCCAAATTTGCTATTGTGTGTCAACCCCAAGTTTTAGTTTCTGAACTTTTTGCCATTTTGCTGTTGCTTTGCCTTATTACTGTTAATTTGCCTTGAATATATTGTTTACTTGCTTTATATTATTTTTGCCATGTTTTTTTTGTCTTTTTCTTGTTATTGCTTATTAAGAACTTTGTCAATTCTATTTGTTGGGCAGTTTTGCTATTTAACATTTAACTATGTTCACTCATTCTACACATTATATATATTAAAAACCTCTATCTATCTCATTCTGTTTCTATGTGTTTCTATCTATCTATCTATCTGTTATGGTCCAGGTTAGGACCAAGGAAGAACAACACGAACACAAGAGTAGAAATAATGAAGGTAT